AGCAAACGTGAAAGACGATCATACCTCAATGACCATATTAAAATCTGCGACAAAATAATATAATTAGGTTAAAGAAGCACAAACATATAATAGAACAAAACTTATTCCTAGTATTTATATAAAATCATTAAAACCCCATAAAATAACGAAAATCATACTTGGATTAGTGAATATTGATATCTGCAAGATGAGAAACAAATTAAGAGATAAATAAAAACCAAATACTATTAGAAACTTGAAACTTTTAGTTATGCTTTTTCAAAAAAAAAAAAAACTCTTAGTTATGGCAATTCGATATGCCTTTGCAAATTTCAAACACACAAAAACCATAAACTATAATAAAACACCATCGATGGTTAAAACAAATAAAAAAATCTCAAAAACTCAATTTGTGCATAAAAAGACAAGAAGGAATAATATGTGAAGAAGAAAAGGTATGCATGCAATTCATGAATCTCTTATATTCTTTTTCTTTGCCGACATCATGAATCTCATATATATATATAATCATAAAGCTAGGTAGGGTTTTTGAATTGTTTTTGGGCTTGATTTATAAATTGGGTCCAGAGCTAAAATTTATCCAACAAACGAATTAGGGCATTATTATCGTAATAATACATCGGTGGCAAAGATAGTAATTAGGACTTTTTTTTAAAAGATATTCATGTAATCAACCACTTCAAAATCGATGAGAGATCGTCACATAGGATAATTTACTTCACATAGATTATATATAGTGGGTCATATAAATAGTTATGGATTACATTTATTGAACATAAATCATAATTAACTTTTATCTAAGTTTTTTATAAATAAGAAAAAAAGACTATTGTGAAAGTTAGAGTGAATTTTGAGGAAAAGCACATACAAAATTCAGCACATACAAAATTCTCTCCACACTTTCGTACTCTCTACTTTTCACCATTGTATTTTCAAGTTTTGTGATTTCAATCGTATACTAAAAAAAAAATTAATAAAATAAGTTTAAATCTTTTGGTCTTTTTTGTTACACTTTCTTTAATTATTTTCAGATTTCATAACTTTAGTTATACAAAGATTAAGTTATATCTTGAAGTGATTAGTATGAGATTTTAAGAAGTGAATGTAATAAGAGCTTGTGACAAAAAAAAAACAAAAGAATGTAATCAGAGCCATCAAGTTTTTGTAAAAGTATATATTTTATGTAAGATAAGCTGTTTTATTTAAACACTTTCAAGCTAAAGATGTTATGCTTAGTCTAAACTTGGGTCTCTTGTGAAACTCAAACTAGCAGCACCTTGCCGAGAGCGTTGTCAACATAAGTGTTCCAGGCTGTAAATTCTAGAGGCAGTGAGTTTGTTGGTAAGTTGTTCTATGTCTCAATCATTACAAAACGAATTTGAAATTTTTTTTACTTATTTCTATGGCTTTAGAAAACTATAGAATTTTTTTTTAATTATAATCAAAATTTAATTTAATTGTATTAATCCAAAATGAATATAATTAAATTTCTTTATCTTGGTCTTTTCAAATGATTCACATATTCATTATCTTCTCCACATAATTGACACTTGGGATCCGCTCTTTTATCTTCTCCTTAATAAGTTCTGTTTTGGAAGTATATACCTTGACTTGAGGAGATTTTATTTTCTTCTTTAATTTAATAAAAATTCCTTCAAAAAACATTCCAACTTAAATGGGAAAAAGCCTTGTTCTATTTTCTTTAGATTCCTCTATTTTTTTTCTTGCAAGTACCAAGAAAAATGACAAACTTTTTTTTTTGTTACATACGTAATATTTCCCCCTATCAGAGATCATAAAACGAAGAGGGATCAGAAACAATTTGGGTATTACTCGGATTCACATAATGTTTCTGTCTTTTTGTTTCCTCTTTTCTCTAACAAACGATGAAATGTGGACTTTTGTCTTCTCGGTAGTTTGACTTTTCGGTTTATCTGTCATCTTTTTCTGCCAAAAAGAAAACCAAAGTTGGTTTAACGAATGAGAACCAATCTGGTTATTTCCGGTTGATTAAATCTACGTACCTCTTTGGAAGTGTGATTTTCTGACAGCTTGCCGGATATTACTTTCATTCCTTTGCAGAATTTCATCGATCTTGCCTGATTTAAAAATCAATGGTCCTGATATGCTCTGTTTTCCAAATTGTAGATGCTCCTACAACACCAACAATCACAAACATTTAACTTACATATATATGCAATTCCATTAAAAAACAAATCATATAAATTCAAGAAGTTTATTTATAAAACGTTATCAAATACAGGACCAAATGAATTCTAATTCGGTTCAGTTAGGTTTATGCATTTTGCATTTTTTCTATTTCTAGGTGTAACACATTTCTATACAAAATAATCGCATATTCGAATATACACAATATATATTGTGAATTATTTTTGTGTATACTAAATGAATTTTGATTTTAATTATATTTAAAAAAAAAAATTTTGGTAAAATGTTAA